CTTACTGAGAACACACAAAGAGGTGAGGGCACTAATTACTCACAAAGGGCATTTTGGCTTCTTGTTGGTGTGGCTGAAATGCACGCCAGACCTCCCCTGGCATTCACCCCTGTGCCCTGCGGATCCAAAATTCTATCCCCAGATTTAAATGCATGGATCAATGGGAGATTAAGAGAAATCCAGACAGAAACACAGTTGGCAATTTCCGCTTGAAATGAAAATGAATTTTATCTTCTTGAACTCCAACCAGTGGTATACACACATTCTGCTAGTGACCTAAGACTGACACAGTTGAAATTTTGAAACCAACTATTATCACATAAGGAGAACAGCAAAAGGGTTCAAACATAGACCCAATAGCCAAACTGTCTAAATCTGAATCTCTTCATTGGAATCCCCGGCTGCATGAGAGGGGATGACTTATACAACTTCTTCCTTGTTCAGTTTGCTTATCACCAACACAAGGGCGGTAAGAGTAGTTTGTGCATGAGATTGTCATCAATCTTCATGAGTTATGACAAACAAAACACTTAAAACACTGACCGATGTGTAGTAAATTCTATGTGTGTGTCCGGTTTTGTTCCTACTGGGTAAACACTGAGAACATAAACAGGGCTTTGGTTGCTGATACACTTGCACACACTTTATTTTTTTAATGGACAGCAACATTTATTTTTTTCTAACTTGAAATTGTTATTGGTAAAGTATCCCAAGGGTGATGATAATTGAGTTGCACGGTCTTCAGATCTGTGCTGCCCAATATGGTAGCCCCCAGCCAAAGTGGCTGTTGAGGGCTCAAAATGCGGCTAGTCTGGCCTAAGATAGGCTGTTAGTGTACACACACAGTCTTTCAAACACTCCATAGAAACAAAGATTGTGAACATGTCATTGATAATTTTTATATTGATTACATGCTTACATGATAACATCTTGGATATATTATGTCCTGTGTACTATCAAAATAATTTTACCTGTTTTTTGTTTTTGTTTTTGTTTTTATTTAGCTACTAGAAAACTTAAGTCACATATGTGGGTTATATGATGTTTTTTTAGACAGCTGCTTCAGAACCAGAACAGGGAACCTGTGGAAACAACACATGCAAGCAGATCCTGACCCAGGACCCAGTAACCCCATGTGCACTCTGCCTCCCCACTGTTGGGGATCTTGCTCTCTTACACCAGATGGCTGGGGCAAGTCCACAATCTTTCAGTGTCTACCTCCTCATCTATAAACTAGAGATGGTTATAACCATATATACCTCGCTAGGGTGTTCTTGAGTATTAGGTGATTTGATACACATAATACTCTTAGAACAGTGATGGGGGGGAAATAATTGCTCCATAAATATTAACTATAACTCTTCCTATGGAGCCAGCACATGAAGGGTATGAGAGGAGATGCAGGAGAGACAATGATAGTTTTTGGAGAAAAAGAAAATCAATACAAAAGGCCATTTTACATATATGATAACTGTGACTGGGGAGGTATTTATCCTCGGCCATACAACTTTCTAGGGACTGGGCCAGGGGCAGAACTCAGGTACCGTGACTTCTGTTCTCACGGTCTTTCCATTGTATCATTATGCTTTACATCCCCACCGGGATCCTACCTTCTTCACCCACTCTGAGCCTGGACTGGCAAAGGGAAAAGTGAGGAATCTCCATGCTCTTTCAAAATTTTGGATGAAAGTTCCAGTACCACTCTGCTGAGGTCTGCCTCTGTAAGAGCATTAGGATCATCCCAAGAAATATTTCATCCAATGTCCCCAGTCCTCTCTGTGAAGCCAAAATTGAAATACACGAAGACTGTGATGCAACATATCTCACCACTGTATAGGCCTGGAGCCTCTTTGCTGTTCCCCACACACTCCAACAGCCTCCTTCCTTGGACTCTGGAATTGGTTGGCCTCTTTTATTTCTCCTTCCTTAGCCAGACTCGTGACTCATTCCTTAGCTCTTTCAAGTCTTTGTTCAAATACAACCTTTTCCATAAGGACCTCCCTGACTTGTATTTAAATTCCTCCCTTGCTTAATTTCTGCACCCCCCCATACCTATGATCTGTTACTCTTCTCGAAACTTACTAAATTATTTGTTTTGTTGTATGTCCCCCTGCCCTAGAATGTGAGATCCATGGGAGAAGGATTTCTAGTGCCTAGAATAGAGGTTGGCACATATAGATTATTACTAAACATTTATTGAATAAACACAGAATTGATGACTAAATGTTAAAAGCATTATGTCCCCCAAATGCTTCCTCTTAGATGGGGAAATTCTAGCCTGATGGTTGAGAGTCAGATCTCTGGAAACCGATCAGAGTTTGAATCTTGGTTTTGTCATTGACTGGCAATGGGACTTTGAGAAAGCTAATTCACCTCTGATCTTTTCTTCTCCCATCTGTAAATAAAGAATCCATCTTCTAGAGTGAATTAGGGAGAGTAAATGACATATTGCATATAAAGCATGCCAGCAAACAAGCCAGGCACAAGTTAGGCTGATAAATTATAATAGTCTTTTTCTAAGAATTTTCTCTTCTTAACATTACAGGGTAAGGCTATAGGAAGGGAACAGCCTCTCTACTTCCACAGCAATGTATGATCTGTAAACCCCTGGAGGCAAGTATGTGTTGGGCTGGCAGGAAGAAAGGGCTACTTAAGATGGCGAAAGTTCCCGCCACAAAACCTGAGCTCCGACAGGAGAACAAAGACCCAAGCAGGAATCTGAGACCCCCACTCCGCGCTCCCGTGGACCAATGGGACCCCGACGAGCAGGCAAAATATCCAAATAAGGGAAACTTGCCAAAAGACCCCAGAACTCCCCTTGAGATCCCTTAAAAGCCCCCTTCTCCCTGCCTTGGGCACAACTTCCCCAACTCCCCTTTCCGGAGTCGGAGTCGAGGAACCTCACCTGAGGGTGCCCACCTCCTCCCAGTGCAACTTTCCTGGCTCCCCTTCTCCTGAGCCCTGAAACTTCGCGGGAGATGCCTTTAATAAATCTTGCCTTGCACCTACTTCTCCTGGTGTCGTGTTTATCTCGCCTATAAAACCTTACAGTATGAGTAACTCATGTTACTCTAGCATAGAACAAATTCAGAAAATCATATCGTTCTGGGTTCTTAAATGTTCGTTTTCAAAAAATAGATTGATTTATAAGACACTCGAAATCTCTTTCCATTTTAAGGTATATCAAGATTCCATCTCTCAGCAACTAAGATTTAAGATTGGCCCAGACAGGTGAGCTGCCACTGATGATGAACACACAGTGTAGAAATTATATAATTGCTTTTCAATTTTTTCCCCAGACTCTCCCAAATTAAAAGGAAGGCTTCCCAGACTCTAGTTTCTAGTCCAGCATGGAGTCCTCTGTCCTGTCCTGTCCTCATAACAGAAAAAAAGCTGGACAACCTGAAGAGCAATAGCTCTTCTTAGATCTATTAGAGAATCAAAGTCACAAGGTAAACCACTGCCCCCAACATGGGCGAGACGGGCAGACAGATACAGGGAATCTCAATGTAATGAAGCAGAAACTACCAGTGGAAACAGTGCTAGAGTGAGAACAATGGAAATAACCTCAGGGCTGAGACTTTACTTAGGAAGTCTCTAGAGAAACCCAAAGAAAACAGAAGAGACAAAAGCAAGGCCATCAGAGGAAATGTTAGCCTCTGACACCTACCGCTTCAGCAAGCAATACATGGAGAGGCTAACTCCTCACCTCAGATAAATATAAATATAAAACCTCAGACCAAATACCGGTTTACCTCAGTACCAATGTCCAGCTTTCAACAAAACAGATGACAACATGTATTAAAAGAAAAGACACAGGATGAAGTGATAGAGCAAGCATTAGAACTAGACTTGGATATGGCAGATGTGTTGGAATTATCAGATCAGAATTCACAGTTGTCCTTAAAATGCTAAGGACTCTAATGGAAAAAGTGGAGAACAGGCAAGAAAAGGTGGGTAATGTAAGGAAGAGATGAAACTTCTAAGAATCAGGAGGAAATGCCAGACATTGAAGAAAACCATAACAGGAATGAAGAATGTCTTGAATGGGCTCACCAGTAGCCCAGACACAACTGAGGAAAGAGCTGGTGAAACTTAGGAACAATGAGGCTTCCTTAAAGACTATACTTACTCTAAAAGGAATAAATGCCCAAGTCCAACATGGAAATTTGAAGATCCTATCTGAGGAAAGATGCTTTGCATCCCATCATTTGATCGAACATGAAGCACACTCTGGGATGATTGCTAATTGAATTCAGTGGACTTTAATACCATATACTTGGATTTTAGGCAGTAAGCCTTGTCAAAATGGAATATTTTTGACAAATATTTAATGACAAACATATAGTGTTTGCTCTTTGATGAAATTATGGTTGTTAGTCAATGAAATCATTTTAAGAGCAATGCATTTGTTGGAATATTTTCATTAAGGTATCATTCTGTTTTTATTTATTTTGGGTAAAACACCTGTCTTTACCCTCCCCTCTTTATTTCATTGTACATATGTTCGTGCTCCTAAGAAAGCTACTTCTGGTAAACCTGTAACATACAATTTCTGGCCTTATAACTTATAATTAAACACAATTTACCCTGTTGGAATCTAATTCAAACTACCTACACCATCTTTCTTTCCAGTCTCTGTACTAGTCCTATTTTGTCAACTAATTTGCTACTGCATTTCCTTACTTTCAATTCATCTTGGAAAGATTCTCCTGGGAAACTGGCCTCACAGATAAGACACTGGTTACTAGGAAAGCTCTAAATAAATATTTGCAAATAATTTGGGCTAAAGTAACAGGATTTCCTCATGGGAAGCCCAAAGAAAAAGATGCCAGACAAGTTTAATATCTTGAAAATATATAAATATATTTAGGAAATTGGTAAAAATGCTTCTGAGGCAGGCTCCACAAACTGCCTGGAATGAGAGAAATTTGAACCAGGTTCTTATTTAAGTATTTGCAACATATGGTATTATTACTATTGATATTTAAACACAACACAAATACTTCTTGATTATTTGTTAAGTTTCTTCAGTTTGGGTCTCCCTGAAATTTGACTTCTTAATCCCCAGGAAATGATACAATGCTGAAATTTTATCAAGTTTTACTGACTTTATATGTGTTTTTTCTAATTTTTTTCTAGGGAGTATGTTACAGTCTGGCATTACATGCATCTCTGCCTTGATTTTAAAAATAAATAGATGGGTATTTTATGGTGTGCTTAGTTAGGCAAATACTACATATGGAATATTCAACATCTCCCTACTTGAAAACCCCCAAAAGAGCCTCCATGTACTAGGCCAGTCTCCTTGTCAAACATTGTCTCCCACTGTATCCTTTAAAATATATATATATATATTTATTTATTTGCAAGAGAGAGAGAGAGAGAGAGAGAGAGAGCATGAGTTGGGGTAAGGAGGGGCAGAGGGAGAGGAAGAAGCAGACTCCACACAAGAAGAGACCCCGATGTGATCCCAGGACCTGGGATCATGACTTGAGCAGAAGACAGATGTTTAACCACCTGAGTCACCCTGCTGCCCCACTGCTTTCTTTGCATCCCTGTAAAAAAGTCCTACAGCCCAGGGCACCTGGGTGGCTCAGTGGGTTAATTCTCTGCCTTCAGCTCAGGTCATGATCTCAGGGTCCTGGGATCAAGCCCCGTGTTGGGCTCTCTGCTCAGTGGGGAGCCTGCTTCCCCCTCTCTCTCTCTGCCTGCTTCTCTGCCTACTTGTGATCTCTCTGTCAAATAAATAAATACAATCTTAAAAAAAAAAAAAAGTGCTACAGCCCTATGAGACTCATCACTATTCCCTGAACATTCAGGATCTGAGCATTCACCTTTGAAACTCCCACGACACAGACCCAAATCTTTGGACAAAGTAGGTGCTTAATAAACATTAGCGGTATTAAATTGGAGAAGAGAAAACATATTTGACTCTCCCAAGGTGGGTGGTGTTGTGACTGCTCCTCCAGTCATCCTTTTTCTGATTGTAGCACATACACTTTCTACTAGAAACTGACCTGCTCCCATTGCACTCGATACGGCTGTCATTCCAAATGTTCTCTTCCCTCCTGGCCAAGATGTGGGTACATGATCCTGAATAGGTCAGTCACACTGTCCTGGGGAGATATTAGTCTGAGCCAAATGACACAGAGTTTTAACATAACCGGTCTAACTGCCCATTCCCATTCCAATCCAGTCACACTGACTTCTGAGCCTCCTCTAGTTCAGAGCCTTTGCTATTGTCCATCTCTCTAACTAGAATGTTCTGCCCCAAGACACTCTGTGGTGTCCTGCTCATCTTGTTCCAGGCTTTGCTTACATCACCTCTTCAGGGAGAACCTTCCAGATGGTGCCGTCCAAAACAGCCCCCTGTCTCTGCCTTGTCATTTTCAATCCTCTTTCTTTATTTTTGTTCATTGTTGTTTTCACTACATGGAATTTCTGTGTAGGTTTATTGGTTTACTTGTTCTCTCTCTCTCTATCATGTGGGAGAGGGCAGATACCTTCTGTCTTATTTATTGAAGAAACTGTCTAGCACATAGTTAATAAAAAAATATATTTATTGAATGCATGAATAAATAAGCAAGCTAAATCCCATGGAGTTGCCCTGGTTCCTGTGTTCTCCTGAATCTAATTGGTTGTTCAGATTTTCCTTTATTTTTCCAATACATCTTTCTTCTTTTTCTTTCCAATACATCTTTCTTCTTTTTCTTTCCTATTGTTTTGTTATGTTTAAGATAAAGAACTCAAGTTTCTGATGCTGACAGCTGAAAACCCATCTGATAGAGTTCAAATGCAAAAGCACTTTTAACTTAGGTCTTAGAAAAAAGCATCTGGCAACATTTTCGGCACACGAGTAGCAGACAGTTTGTATGAGTTCTCCATCCCTTTCTTTTCCTACTCTCTTCTAGCTAATCTCAGGGATAGCTTAGAGGACACTAGAAAAATCTGTTAGATAGTGTCCCAGCACACAGTAGGTGCTCAGTAAATCTGAGTCGAATATTCTGTGTGCACTGAAAAAGACTCCCCAATGACTTCACCTGCCTTTAAAATCATAGTCCCTTGTTTCAGAGTTGGGACATGGCAGGCGGCTGGGGGATGTCATCCCTACACTGGCATTTGGGATACAGGCAAGAAAACTCCTTTTATTAAGGAGGCAAACGCACCTTCTTGCATAGTCTGCTTGCCTCACGAAAGACCATAAACTCTAAATATCTGTGTGTGACAGGTATCTCTGAGCCAATCACTGTAAGTGGAATCAAAGATGTGAGAGAAGAAATCAATCCAAATGTGAGAAGTGACCAGACCCAAGCAGATCTTTGCCAGTCACACAGATATCCGTCAGCAGGGTGAGAAGCACCCACGGAGAGCTTGCTACATGCAAAGCGTGCAGCTGGGAACCTGGCAGAATCGTTAAGAGTGTGCACCTCCAGGAGCTTCCTGGACTGGAGTTGAGGCAGTCAAGTCATAAACTCATTGTATGTCAAAGTAATGGATTTAGTATTAACAGGAGCATATCCTGAGATGAGAGAACAGTACCAACTCACTCACGAAAGCTCATCCATGCATTCATGCATTCTTCGAGTCAATACTATCGCCTATATACTAAACCTCACACTCTGGGCTAGATCCTATGGGGGCAAATCACTCATCCCTGTGGAGACAGACCAAAGTCTGTCCAAAGGAGTCCAAAGGCGGGAATGATTCCATCTGTGAAAATTCAGAGGAGGTTGCATATAATAGTAGCGAATTTTTACTGCCCCCTTACCACATTCCAGACCCTCCCCTATGCCCTTCTTGGGCACTATCTTGGTTATTAAGTATCTTATTAGTATATCTTCCCGTTAAAGATGAGGATACTATTTTCCTGAAGAAATTAGGGACATTTACACTTAAAAAATTATACTTGACAGCTTTTGAAGGATTTTTGTATGTTAAGAACTGTTTCAAGTGCTTTATGTGTTCCAGAATGTTTACTAAAAAGTCTATCCCTATTTTTACACATAGAAAGCTGAAGACCAGAGAATTTTTAATCACTAAGAAGTGAAAGTAAGACTTGAGCCCAGAAACTCATGGCTGTTAACCACTATCTCTTACTCCTCTGCCATGATTTAAGACATTTGAGGTATTAAATTTGAGAAGAGAAACCATTGAGGAAGGCATTTGCTGCACAGAAAAAAGAGTGGGCATCCCCAAGCAGAGGAAAGAAGTACTAGTCTCCTAGGGCGGCCATATATAACACATTGCCATGGAGTTGGTGGCTTAAAACAATGGCCATTCATTTTCTCACAGTTCTGGAGGACAGAAATCTAAAATCAATGTGTCTGCAGGGTTGGTTCTTTCTGGAGGTTCTGAGAGAGAATGCATTCATTGTCTCTCTACCAGTATCTGATGGCTACTGGGAATCCTTTGCATTCCTTGGTTTGTACATGCATTGCTCCAATCTCTGTCTCCATCTTCACATGCCTCCCTCTTTCTGTTTATCTCTGTGTTTTCTGTCTCTTATAGAACACCATTTAGGGCCAACCTTAATCCAAGAGGGCCTTAATTACATCTGTAAAGACCCTTATTCCAAAGAAGTTGGCATTCTAAGATTCCAGGTGACTTTGGGGACCACAGTGGAGAGGATGTATGCCCCAAAAGGCAGATGGCATGGAGCCTTGAAGTGCACAGCCCAGTTAGTGGAGGTGAGATGTCCATCTAGCTGAGAGGCTCAGTGGTGCTATGGTGAAGGTGGAGATGATACTGGGGGGCAGTGATGTTGGTTCCAGACTGGGAAGAGTCTTGGCATTCTCTCCCATACAACAGGGAATCGAGAATTTTAAGAAAAGAAGTGACATGATCGGACTCCTTGGGAAGTTTGTGACTCTGGAAATAAAAAGGAAAATGGAGTGAAGTGGAGAGGAAAGCAATGGCATGAGCAACAAGAGAATTGGACAAGTCCTGGACAGGGGCCAGCCGTGGTTTCCTGGGTTATTCTGTTAGAAAGAAATGGACAAAACCCTTGGGCTCAAAAGGGTATCATTTGAGCAGAGTGTTGACTTCCACATCTACTTACAAATGCTCAATCTTGTTTTCCTTAGGCCCAGCAACATAATCTAACTATATGCAGAAGATAAATAAAACTCTTTTTGACTTTAAATTTATGGGCAAATGCTAACCCAGTGACTGAAATTATGTCTACTTTACTGTGACAGATCAAACATCAAATAAGGATATTAATAGCAAATAGATTAAACAATTAATATCAATTAAAGAAATAAGTTGATGATTCCTGAGTCACCATCTTGTATTAAGTATTCCAAATACAGGTCTATGTCTTCTGATTAGCTGCTTATACAAACACATAATCAACAAGGGCTCATAAAATGATTGCACTGCTCCCTCCCATAACTAGTATAAATGCCTAGCATTTGCCAGCTGCATAATGAAACTTCCAATTGCATTCAAATTATTACATTTGAATCCTTAAAATTTCATTTTGTCAAAAAACAGCAACATTTTCAAAGGGAAATGAATATGGTATAAATATATACTCACTTTTAGAAAAATGTACAGCATTTCATTTCCATAATAATCACGAGTTCTCTTGTTGAGAGTCAAATTTCAAGTTAAAAAGGGTATTTCTGTTCACTTGGAGATTTTTGCAGACCAGAACAAGGGTGGTTTCAATTTGGTGCAAATACTTTAAATTATTCTCAGAGAAATGCTCTTTAAATTTCATTTCTAAGAAACATGTTTTCTTATTAAAAGAATTTTAATGTGTTCTTGCTCGTTTATAACAGATCACACTTCTTTTAGAACATTAATTGCCATGTTTTATTTCATTATTTTTGCTTCATTTAGCTGCCTTAATAACTTAAGAACAGTTATGCAAAAATATTCATAATTGCTTTTATTTTCGAAAGTTTCCACCCAGCTTCAGTGCTGTATCAGAAGAAAAAATATGAAACCTGCCATGTCTTAATTATAAATTCTACCTTTGGCAAATATATATAGATATGTGTATA